TGCTAACTCTAACGCCTACGCGAACCTACGTGGACTCTAAGACGCGCTGCTGCTTGCCTTGGCCTTTCCCTTGTACTAGCTCGGGTGGCTTCATGATGTAGCTTAGACTGCTCAAAAGAGATTTTCGCATGAATTCCACAGGTAGAGCTCATTGAGACGGAGCTCATGGAGACGGAGCTTACGGCGACGGAGCTCTTCTAAAACGTTCTTTCCACGAAATAGTTGGGAAGGTTGAAATCCGAGAATGAAGTTGACAATAGGAAGTTGTAGTGCGCTGATGGAAGGAAAGGGGCGATCGAACAAGGTGGTTGGAAGGAGGAGAGTGTCGATAGAGACGACGCGGGTCGGAAACTTCTGGGTGCGGTGCGGGCTGCGCAAGCGGAGCGGCGCGTCTCAAAATGTTTGCGGTGCGGCGATGCAGGTTCGGAAAGTTGCCGTTGGCGGTGGGGCGTGGCGCAACGCGGTGCGGACCTTCGTTGCTGCTAGTTACAGGAATATGCTGAACGGATGGTGGAGATGATAGCCACCACCGATGAATATTGGTCACCATAGAGATGTGATGTGATGTGATCGCCGCCGCCACCATAGAATTTCCCCGCCTAGGAAATGTCGAAGAACATTTTCCATGGGGACTTCAACGCGACTGAATGTGCATGTGGACTCATCCCAAAGCTTTTGTGTGTTTTGGCGAATCTCAGCCGCGCGATGCGATCAAGCGCGGGGCCTCTGATATGGTGCATTGGTGCCGTTAGAATAGCAAGCTAGGTTGTGAAATAGTGAAACGAGTGGCGGAGATGATGGCCGCCGCTGATGAATGGTGACGACTTGGAGTGGTGTTTCGTTGGAGGCTGTGGTGTGGTGTCTGGCGCCGCCAAAGATAATTCCGCCTAGAAAGAATATGTCAGAAAGCGTTCCCAATGAACTCAAAATTCGAGGCTGCCGAAATGTGTTCATTCAAACTCATCCCAACGCGACCCGGCATCCCTCGACTAATTTCAAATGTACAGTACAGTTCAGAGGGTGGTTGGTAAACTTACGTTGGTTCAGACTGAATATAAGCGGATCTGCTGAGGACGCGTACTGCTGTGGTGTGGTTTGACGGGCACTCTGATATCGGGTACAATTGGTTTGGGTGAGGGGCAGGAAATTATTTTTCTAGGAGGTGGTGTGACGTGGCACAAGTATTTTACATCTATAGACCGACTATGAATTCGCGAAAAAATGTGCGTGACGTGCGGGATTGCATTGAAATCGCAACAAGATTTGTGAACGGAAGGTTCAGGTGCTCTCGCGGTTCATTTTGTTCCTTGCGAACTTGATCGGGGCAGATGATTTGGCAACGGGTGATCGAGGAAAAATATGCGAGCCAATAGGATTGGGGGGTGTTTCCCGCTATCATCCGTCATCTTCCAGCTCACCCCTTCCAGCTCACCCCTTCCAGCTCATCACCGAGTTCTTGGTGTTCTCACCAGGAAGATCGAATTCCACTTTCTTCTTGTTCATTTCACCGATTAGCGCGAATACCTTGACTCTTGTTACTGTAGTCTCTGTCAGTCGTGCTGTCGGTCGCGCTTCAGTGTTAGCGCTTTGAACTTCTAGTATCTGAAGCCGCTTCCCACGTCTAATAGCTGCACGAGTGCTGAGGCGAAATAAGCAACGAGTAGGCGTAAGATCCAACAATTTCTAGGCCACGAATAGCGGGAGGAATAGTAGCAACGATTGGACGAATTGATAGTGTCGATTATAATTTAGTCATTTGATAAACTTCGACTTGAGAGCGCACGGCCTCAGTCGATCTCGTTAGGCAGGCGAAGCGCAGGCGCTCTAGTCTGAACCGTTGCGCAAGACATTAAAAACGGGGCAGGGCGGGTAAAGGAGAAAGAAGGTCCAAGAGCACGTTACACCATCTCGCGAACCTTGGATTTCGGCGAGCAGGTTACATGTTCTCGCAAATGTCAAAATTCCATGCCATGAAACCCCTCCCCTTCCCCCCTCTTCATCTTTCCTCTCACATCTCCCCTTCCCTCTCTCCTCATCTCCCCGTCTCCCCCGCTCTTTCCTCATTCGCCCAGTAAAAAAAAGCCTTTCCCTCCCCCCCCCCCCCCCCACCCCACCCCCTCCCCCCGCCCGTCTAACCTTCATCCCCCATCCGTCTCACCCTCATCCCCCTCCGCTCTCCCCTCATCCTCTTCCTCGTCTCTCTTCCCACTCAACCCTCAGCTGCTCTCCTGTTTACCCCTCATCCCCCCTCCCATCCCTTTTCCTACCCACCTTCCATCTCCCCTCCCCACTCACCCCACAACTCCTCCCGTCCCTCCTTTAGCTTGAACGCGAGGTAGCACGGGCCATCCTTCTAGGAGTCTCCGAGGTGTACCCTTTGGAACCCCTTCCCCCTCACTTCCCCCTCCGCATTCCTCCCCCCCTTGTCTCCCCTCCCCACACTCACCCCTCATCTCCCCCACTCCCCTCCTTTGGTATGAGCTTGGAGCAGCAAGGGGTCTTGGAGGAGTGATTGAGGGGCACTCATGGGACCCCCTTTCCCCTCTGCCCTCCCCCTCCCTTGGCTCCCCTAATCCACTCCTCACCTCCCCTCCCCCCCTCTACTTAGGCATGAGAGCCAAGCGGCATGGCATGGGACAGCCTTCTTAGAGTTTCCGAGGTCCATCCCAAGGCCTCCCTTTTCTGTTTCATTACAAATGTACATGTGTGTGATACTGTAATCAAAGTTTGTGCAAGAATGTATCATGTAACACGTGTTCTGTGTATACCGATTGTTGTGTATGATTAAAATTGCGGGAAAAGGCACAACAATGGATAATGCCTTTCAGGTTTCGACATACCGTATTCTCCCGGATAAAACACCCTAGGGTATTATGAAAACCACTGGGAAAAAATGGGGGGGGTCTCCTCAAAGGAAAATCCTACATAATACCCGGGTCTTATTATATGGTTATATTTTTTATCAAGTAGAAAAGATGTGAAACAAAATCAGGGTCCTGACTCCACTTCAAGAATGTTGATCAGTGCCGCAAAACCGAGTATACGAGGATAACGTGACCGCCCACTGGAATCTGCCACGTGGCAAATTCGAGTGGGCAATTCTGGCACTTGATAGGGTGAAAACAAAGCCAATTGCGTGGCGAGGGTTCATGCAACCGCCGAGGCCAGAATCGCGCACGGTGGTGCGTTCTTACTGTACCAGTCACTTCTTGACTGGTTTGGTCACGTGTCTGTGCCTCATGTGAGAAGGTGATTTCACCTATTGGGCCACTTGCAGCAGAAGATTCGCCAGCGTGGCGACAGCGAGATTGTGGGAGGGGGGAAATCTTGGCAGATTCAAAGTGAAAGTACACGCGAAATTTCACATAGGGAGCAATTCTCGTGATATCTTCCCGTAAGGAATCGGACTCGATAACAGCTACAATATGAATCTGTAAGAAAAGGGGGATGTTACAGGGCCTATTTTTGGATTTTGGGTACTCTGATTTCTAGAGTAGTTTTTTTCCCAACTCTGAAATCTAGGGTTGTTCCTGCGCCTTACTCTGATTTGTCAGAGTAACCCTATACTTTCAAAAAAAAACCCAGGCACGTCAGAGTAATATTTTTCTCTACTCTGATGTTAGTTAAGTTTGGTGTACCATGACCTTAATAGGTTTTTGTTACGCTTTTTGTACTTGCATTGTGTTTCATTTCCGCGTCGCCCACGTTTCCCCCCTCACTGCGATGTTTCAGAGTGAGGTGTTGGCGGCACCGATAATCTGACTAAGAGCGTGTCTGAAGTGAAATGTCGACGGATGTACAGTTTCGTTGGGGAATGCTGGCCAATCTAAACCCTCGGATTGAGCGTTCCGACCGTCAGGATTCCTCGACGTCCCTCAAAGTTTCGTCGGGAAACGTCGACGTTCACTTCAGATATAAAGAGAGAGGGGACTGGTTGGCATCGTGCGCTGGTTGGGAAAGTTGTCAAACTACGGTAGCCAATCAGCGCTCATATTGCCGCCAACACACAACAGAAATCAGGAGAATGATCTCGACGATTCGGGGAAAACCCGCTAAACGCAGGGGGATGTGGGGAGGGGAGGGGGGCGGGGGAGGGGGGGCCGGCAGGTATTCCCTATATAGAGTAAATTCGGTCCCCGAAAAAAAAATCCAGAGGCCTCAGAGTAAACTACAGCATAACTCTGACAAATCAGAGAAATCGGAAGTCCCAAAAAAATTACCCAGCGGGTACAGAGTTACTTTCAAAAATGACTCTGATTTTCAGAGAAACAGAGTAATTTACTCTGAAAACGTGAGGCCTGGGGTGTTATAGAAAATCACCCCAAAAGGGGGGGTATAGTACAAACGGGGTCGGATATAACACCCACCCCGTATTAGCTACCCGGGGGTGTACAATTACGGGGGGGTGTTTTATCCGGGAGAATACGGTACGGTAGCAACTCTCGGAGAATAGACACTTCTGTTTCCAAACATTTATGGAAGTTGCTGGGCTGGTGGTATTTGAAGCAATGACTTTGGTGAAGTAAACCAAGGATCCCCAAGACTACTTCTTTGTAGCTACAGTATATATCATTCTCCCAACCCAATGTTCCAGCTAAAGTCGTTGTAGGAAGATGCTCTAGCCTAGCCTAAACTCTGGGTGAGTGGCGGTTCAAGTGACGCTTAAACACCCATGGTCAGGTGCGTGAAGCCATGGGTGTTAGAGCATCACTTGAGAAACAGCATCAGCGACTCCAATCAAACAAATACTAGTGATCACACCAGAACATCAGCACCAATGTCTGCTGCTTGAGCTTCCAATCCTAAAGACCATCCGCTAAACTCTGTGATTCCACTCAGCAACTCAGCTCAGCTGCTGCTGCCAGTAGTGACCCGGGCTTGGGCGCTGCTCAGAAAAGGCAGTCAGTCAGCTCAGCACAGACTCTTCAAAAAAACAATGCAAGCGGTTGCGACTTGGGCCTCAAACAAACCACGAGGAGGAATCGCGACTTGCATCTCCTTCACTCCACAATTCCTCTCAGCATCTCAGCTGCTGCTGCCAAGGCACCACATACACCAACCCACCCCCCTCCCATGCTGTAACACCCTCTCCCTGACAGAAAATCACCAACTCCCTCTGCTGCTGTGCCCAAGCTGCTTCCCACACACTCCTTCCAAGAAGCTTCCCATCCAGATACATCACTATGAAGATCCTCTTCCTCCTCTTTCTCCTCCTCCCCATTTTCATCGTCATCATTACCATCGCAGTTATTTCCTGCCACATCAGCATCCCACCTGACAACATCAGCAGCCTTATCCGACAGCTCAGCGAGCGCGATGCTGAGTAGGACGCACTGCTGGCAGCAGTGCAGCAGCAGAGCCTGTGCTCCTCCCAACGCAGCTAGCCTTGATTCCTGCCTTTGAGGTGCATCAAAACCTGTTCCCTGTGCAGCACGAGCATTCTCAAGACATGCTCCAGAGCTCCCCTTGTCTGCCTGTGCTGCTTGCTGCCCGTTAACAGCCACAACAGCAGCAGCAATAGGAGCCCCTGCCACATTAGCACAAGCAGCAGCAGCAGCAGCAGCAGCAGCAGCAGCAGCAGCAGCGCCCGCAGCACAACCACCAACAGCATCACCATTGCCACTAGCAGCACCAATACTTTGGCGTCGCGGGGAGGAGCAAGGAGACGCAGGGAGAGGGAGCGAAGCAGCTTGCATCAGCAGCGCCTGGAGCAGCCGAACCAAGCCTGTCACCACCCGAGCCTGTGACCGAACCAAGCCCCCAACGACCTGAACGTGCGCTGGGTTCACCCCTACCCACTCCAACCCCGCTGTATCCGTCCCCACTCCCTCAACCGCCTCTCTCGCCCGAGCTATTTCAGATGCCAGAACGTCAAAGAGCCGAGGCAGAACGAGCGCCATGACCTCCCAACCACTCTCCACCGCTCCGGTGCCCCTCCCGTTCCTCATCCCAGCGTCGGTAACACCTGCAGCTTCAGCAGCATTGGCAGAGGCTGTAGCATTGGCTGTAGAGTTGGCAGCGGCTGTAGCATTAGCAGTGGCTGAAGCATTGGCAGCACCTGTAGCAGCAAGACAACTCCCCCCCTCCACATCCATCCCTTGCACCTCGGCTCCTGCTGCTACCCCTCCTGCTGTTCTCACCCTCCCTGCTACCCCTCCTCCTGTTCTCACCCGCCCTGCTGTGTCCGGCCCAATTCCTTCCCCCTGTTCCAGCATTCGTCGCTGCTCCTCTTGCTTCACCCTCTGCAAACCTCCCGTCTCCTCGCCTTCCTTCCTCCCACACTCGCTCCCTCTGCTTCCGCTCCTCGCCTCCTCTCCACTCAAACCACTCCCCTCCTCCATCCCTTTCCCAGCAGCCCAGTCACACAGCAACCCCAGCACTTCTATCACACCACATGCACTCCTGTACCCATCCCCCACGGCCCTCCTCTCCCTCCCAATCCCAGCCTTGAACCCTCTCGCCACATCCCCGGATCCCCTGCTGTCCCCTATAAAAGCTTTATCCTGGTTGGAACCTCGTGCAGTTCGAATCTGCGTGCTATACAGTTGTATCGTGCGGTGGAGTTGCGAGGCAGTGGCTTGTAAGAGGGAGCACAGGACGTTTAACAGAAGGTCAGCGAAAGCAGCAGCAGATACCACTGCTGTGTGCTTATTATCACTCACTGTCCCAGAATTTGTGACTGTAATGAGAGGAGCCTGTACGAGAGGGAGGGGTCGTGGCAGTGGTGGTGACTGTAACAGGATGTGCTTATCTAAGAGTGGAGATGGGAGGGGGAGGAGCAGCAGCAGGATCTGCTTCATCACCACCCCTACCACCCTCACTCTCTCGTTATAATCACCCTTCACTCTTCCTGTTTCCCACGCTGCCAGCAACGTCAGGAGCCTTGGCAGCATATGAGAGAAGGACACGTGGCGGTCTGTGATAGGGGCACTAGAAGCAACCAGAATCTGAAGGGCTGCTAATGCTGAAGCTATGATGCTTCCCGCTGCCACACCTGCTGCTGCCGGTGCTGCTGCTTCTGCTGCTGCTGCGTCTGCTTCTGCCAGAAGTTTCCGTCTCCTTGTTTCCATGGCTAAATCAGTCAAGTCAGTTGCTACGTTTGTAGGAAATGCAGCAGCCATCACGAGCCTCCACTCCCTCGCCCACATGCCCTGCTGCTCACCCGTGTCTGTCTCAAACCCCTCCCCCTCACCACCCTCACCACGCACTGGTGTTCTCCTTTCAAACAGGACCCCTTGACGCACTGGTGGGACCCGCACTTGTGCTGCTTGGTCTGATTTTTGAGGCCCCTCAAAAACCCCTTGACGCACTGGTGGGGCCCGCACTTGTGCAGCTTGGTCTGATCTGCCCTCCTGTGCTCCTTCTCCTACCCGCTTCCTGTCATTCTCACCACGACCACCATCACCACCACCACCGTCAGCATCACCATCCCCATCACCATGACCATTTCCCCCATCGGCATCAGCCATTTCAGCATCTTCAACCGGTTTCCCTTGCCTCCCTCCTCTTCTCCTCCTCCCGCTCCTTCTCAAGCCTCCTGTTTCCCCCGGGGGAGCAGGAAAACCAGCATCTGAAACATCAGCAGCAGCCGCAGCAGCAGCCGCAGCTTCAGTAGCAACACCAGCATCTGAAGCATCAGCCACAGGAGCAGGCGGGAGAGCAACACCAGCAGCAGCAGATGCAGCGGTTGCAGCAGCAGAGGAGGCAGCAGAGAGCAGAAGGGAGCGGCAGGTATGGTCCACCCGAAGCAGAACGGAGAGGGCTCGCCACGCTAGCAGGCGAGAGGGCTGCACAAGGGGTGGGGAGGGATGGAATGCAAAGAAAATATAAATTCTAAGTCAACTCAAACGGCAGCAGAGAGCAGAAGGGAGCGGCAGGTGTGGTCCACTCGAAGCAGAACGGAGAGGGCTTGCCACGCTTGCAGGCGGGGGGGCTGGAAAGGGAAGAAGGGGAAGGGGTGCGAAGGAGGAGGCCAAAAAAACAAGGGAGAAATCAGAGTCAACTGAAAGGCAGCAGAGGGTAGAAGAGAGCGACAGGTGTGGTCCATTTCAACCAGAACGGGGAAGGCTTGCCATGCTTGCAGGCGAGACGACTGCGGAGCAGAGGGATAGAGACGTTAACAGGATACACGAGCTTGTGTTCAGGCGAAGTCCACCAGCATGGAGAAAAAGAACGATCGTGTAAGCGCCTTAAAACTGCCTCAAATCATGTGCACGGTGTACACAGGGCTTACCTGAGACACAGGTGCTTGTGTGCAGGCAAAGTCCAGCAGCGTGGAGAAGAAATGGCAGGGCGAGTCAATACCAATCAGTAGCTGGAATTTGCGAGGGCAGCGAGCGTGGGAAAGACATGGGGAGGGAAGGGGGTGACGGCGCGGGCGAAAGCGTTGAGAGCAATGTGGAAGCTGGAAATGAGAAGCGGGAAAGGGGATCTTGAGGATGAAAGAGAGGATTGAGAAGACACTGATGAAATGACATTCTTGAAATCCCATGCGCTAATGAATTCTGCAACTCTTATAGAAAAACTCATGTTTAGATGCAAGTCGTGCTGCCTGGACATCCGTACATATCATTATTTTCAACACTCACATTCGAAAAGCCGTCTTGCAGTCGCCGCTGCACAACCGCGCACCTCGCATCCCCACCCGCTCTCACATTCCGCACCTCCTCTCCACCTCTCCGTCCCAGCGCAACAGCAGATTCCCTTGCCGCGTCTACGGAAAGAAGAAGACGTGACGAGCCAGGGCTGTGTGCCTGTGCGTGTGTGGTGGTGTGACAGAGCATGCGAGGGTCTGAAAGAGAACCTCTGTGCGTCATCTGTGGCTCTGTTGCAGTGGGCCTTGCAACGAATGGGAGGCAGCGAGTGGAAGGGAGAGTTGCAACGAGGGTGGGCGGGAAGTGAGCGGCATTGGGCGTTGCAACAAGGGGGAGGCAGTGAGCGGCAGTGGGTGCTGCAACCAGGGATAGAAAGTCTCGAGGACAGTGCGCTATCAGCTGTGATGCCACAAACCGGCAGTGCTCTGCTGAGTCACGCATCATGGGCCTTGACTCATCGAATCTGCGTGCTGAGTCACTGTGGCCATGCGCTGAGTCAGTGCCGGCATCATCCCTGTCAACTTCCACCACTGCCACGTCATCATTCCCCTGCTTCCTCCCACTTGCTTGATTCCCCTCACCCTCTCTCCTTTCCAGCCTCTGCTCCTCCTGGCTCTTCTCCTCCGACCCCCCTCCCATGCTCAATCTACCGTACTTGCCAACTCTCGCGGTACACCCAACAGGCGGTGATCTGTCACACTTAGCAAAGTGCAAGGTAGGGGATGGGGAGGGCAGTCGGCCGTTCCACACTCGCTGCAGGGCACTGTGCAAACAAGCCATGTCACGGTCTGACGCTGAAGCAGCAACGGCTCCAGAGGCCCCAGCAGCAGCACCCTCCTTAGCACCAGCAGCAGCACCAGTGGCAGCATCGGCAGCAGGACGAGCGGCAGTGACACCTGTTGCAGCGCCAGAATCGGCACGAGCAGCACCAGCAGGTGCTGCAGCAGAAGCAGCAGCCGCAGTACCACCACCACCGCTACCAGCAGCAGCAACAACTCCAGACGCAGCAGCATGGCGCAGCTCTTCTGTGTTGCCTGCATTTCCCCCCAAGTCCTTCCCATCCATCCCATTTGGCTGCTTCAAAATCTCGACACGATCCTCCTGCACACGCCGCTCCCTGGAGATGGTCCTTGTAGAAAGAGAAAAAACAAAATGAATACGGAAAAGGAGGCTGTGACAAGGAAGCAACAAGTCCCCATATGTCTCCTCCACCCCAAGGTCTCAAACGTCCCATTCCTTCCCAGTCTCACCTCTCTGTCACAGCCTTTGCCATCTTTTCTTTCAACTCCCTCGCTTCAGCCTCTGCTGCCTGCCGCCTTCGCTCCTCCTCCTCTCGCTGCTTGCGAGTCTGCTCCATCTCCTCTTCCTGCACGTATCCACATGTCCGCATGTCCGTCCGCATGTCCACATGTCCGTGCATCAGGCAAAGCAATGGAAAGGGGAGATAGAACAGGGGATTGGGAGTTGTAGAAAAGCTTGGCACGCTAAACCTGCTCCAACTCTTCTTCCTTAACAAGTATGCGTGCCTGGCAAAAGAACAGAGGAAGAGGACTATCGCCCTTTTTGGCACTTACTTCTAAGAAGAAAGGAGGAATTTCCGTGTACGAAAGTGACCAACAGAGTTATCGAAGCAGATGCTTACAAAGGCTAAAAAACAGGCTTAACGGAAAAGGTCAGGGCACAGCAGGGCAGGGTGTGACTTGCGCATCTTACTTTGAACAGGAGCTCAGCTGTGAGACGCTCGATCTCGATGTCTTTTCTATCCATCTGGAAGAAGCAAGTGAATAAGTGAAGATGACATGACATGACATACATGCGAAAGAGACGGGCGCAATGACATGAAGGTTGGTGGGTAACTAAGCACGCAAGTGAAGCTGCAAGGTTGGTGAAAAGGGTAAAGAACCACGAGGCATAAGGACAGGCATGACATTGGGGGTTCACAGATGGAAAGCAAGTGAGTTCCAGAAAATAAACAGACTTAAGAAAGCCCAATCCCAAAACCCAATAGCAATGACAGCAAACCTGGGCATTTTCTTGGCCTGGAGCAGCGGCAGCGGAATGCGAATCTCGCTGATGAAGGCACTTCAGCTGTTTCTCTGCCTGCACGAACAGCAGTAGTAAGCAGAAAAATTAACACACAGGATGCTAGCAGAAGGCAGAGCAGAAAGGCACTAGGTCGTACACGAAGCAAGAAGACATTGCTTTAACCCGACAACTGATCCAGTAGTAAGAGAGAATTCTTTCGTCAGAAAACTAAAACTGACAAACTGTTCTCACCTCTTGAAGCTTCGCCAGCAGACCCTCCATCGCTGCTTCCTTCTCCCTCGACCTCTCCCTCAGAGTTCTATCAGCTAGCCATGCTGCCACCATTGCTCACCTCTTGCAGCTTCGCCAGCAGCCCTTCCATTGCTGCTTCCTTCTCTCTCAGCCTCTCCCTCAGACTTTCAGCTGCCTCCTCCGCCCCATCTTCCTCTCCTTGGCACCTTTCTTTGTGCTCATCTCCGGCTTTGTACTGTTCCCCCACGGCTTGGTACTGTTCATCCATGCCTTGATAGTGTTCATTCAAGGACTGCTTCTGGCGCTTGACAGCTGGCGCCTTGCCATTCGCCGATTCCCATCCCCCATGGCTGCTCCCTGGCTCCTGCATACTCCTCCTTTGAAAGCCACCAGATTCAGTAACGCCAGGAGCAGGAGCAGTGGCAGCAGCAGGAGCAGCAGGGGGGGGGAAAGCAGAGGCGGGAAGGGGAGAAGGAGGCGTTGGGGGAACAGGGGGAGCGGATGGGATGGTGGGTGGGGGTGGGGCGATAGGGGATGCTGCGAAGCCTGGTGCTGGGAAGAGGGCACCGAACCTGCGGTCTCCCTTCGCTCGCCCGTAGACAGCTGGAGGGGGGGCTGAAGGGTTGGTCCGAACCATTGACGCAGGCCTGGAAGGTGCAGCTCCGGAAGACAGGCTGGGTTGTTGGGCATGCAGAGAGTGTTGAGCTGATAGGGCATGGGAAAAAGCAGGTCCTTGGTTGATCTTGTGATGTGTCTCGTCATTGGGCCACGCAGTGCCATTCTGATAAGGAGGATAGAAGCTGGATTCTTGATTGCGGTTTTCAGTTGTTGGAGCCTGTTGCTGCATTGGTGGTGGCTGTTGCTGGTTGTGCTGCTGCTGGTGAAAATGAGCGGTTTGCAGCTGTTTTTGGTCACGATGATAGGGGTGCTGATGTTGCTGATATGGTTTCGCCTGGTGAGGCTGCTGTAGTGAACTCCACTGATGCTCCTGCTGCTGCTGAAGCTGCTGGTTCTGATTCAATAGATGCGAGTTCTGCTGCGGATGCTGTTGGTGCTGCTGGTGCTGCGGGTGTTGTTGATGCTGTTGATGCTGCTGGTACGTATGATGCTGATGATGCTGCTGGTGCTGATTATGCTTCTGGTGCTGCTGCTGCTGGCCGTCCTTCGCCGCCTTTTCCGCCTCCGCCTTCATCACGAGCTCCAACGCGTCGGCCATGACATCAGGACCCCACTCATCGTCGTCACCCATCATTTCGAACTTGACGAACAAATCCGTTACGATTTTGGCCAAACAACGTTTAAGCGCGGTCAGAAACAGGAGAGCGCCTGATGGAGACGTGAAAATCGCACGGAGCCGATCGGATAAGTCGATTCTAGACTGATAGTCTGTCACTGAACAGCGGCGTCAGGACAGCTCGACGAATGAAACGCTTCGACCGCCCAAGCTTAGAACCTACGAATGACTGACGGCGGAGCGCGTCTAAAGACGAAGCTTCGAAACTCAATCTCAAGCCAGAACAAGGCGTGACGATGACACTATCCTCACTGATTAGGTCTAGTAACCTCAGACGATACCTGAGGGATTTGTGTGGCTTGTCACTGACGCTAACCTCGGGAAATGCTCGCAGGGCCCGTTCAGCCAATTGAAGTTGCAAAATTATGAAAACCACCTCCATTGAAAATTTTCGGAGGGAAGAGATTTTCTTCCAGCAATTGGTTCATTTCCCCGCGTGTACAGCTACTTACGTGCCCGAGCTAGAAGGGGTGAGCCTTGAAATTGGTGCCTCGGAATCGCCCGCTGTAACGCCGATCTTTTTTTTGAGCGAGTTCCTTACTACTTATTGTGCTTTTAAAAACATTGGCGCCACAAAACAAAATGTCAAACATTTGAGAAACATGAGTTCTTGGAACGATAGACAATTACAACGACCTCAGACTTCAGTGAGCATATAAAGCACTCGTTACTGCAAACGAGCAACCAATACAGATATCGAATGCAGGTTCAATGCACACTTGTCCAGCTTCAAAGAGCACCTGTAAGCCTCTCGAAGCACTCCCACCAACTCCTCTCCACCTCTCCCAACCCCTAAGCCTGCTGCACTTGTACCTTCACCCGCCTTCCTCCCACCGAGGGATGAGCCGGAAGATGCCAGAGCAAGGCCCAGCAAGGCCTTCAGGTGTGACTGTACGAGATGGCACAGCCTCTCAGCCGTGTGACTGTAGAGAGGGGACGCCTTGTCGTGAGCTTGCTTTGAGTGCTCCGTGGTTTTGGAATCGGGAACTGGGGAGGGAGAGGGGCCTGGGGGTGGTGATAGCGCGGCCTGCACTGCCATGAGGTGTCTCAGAGCCGCGAGGTGACTCTGGTGGGGTACAGGGGCGAGGGGAGAGGAGCGACAAGGGAAGAGAAGAGAGCGCAGGGAATAAGGTTACCGTATTTGGTTGGGGGAAACTGGGGCGTGGAGAAAGTTGACTTGTCAGGCTCAGACACTAAAAACAACCATGCCTGACACTGCTGCTGCTGCTGCTGCTGCTGCCGTTGCTCCCCAAAGCAAAGGAGGCCAGCCCACTCCATGCATGTAGTCACACACAGGTCCGGATGTGCACCCGCTTGATAGAAGCACACTGCCTTGCGCCAGTGCACCCTTTTTAAAGCATACCTGCCACTGCTGCTGCTTCTGCCCGCCCAGACCCAACCAAACGTTAGCCCCCCCCTCTCCATGCAGCTGGTCACAAACATGTTGGCGAAAGCACGCCCATACAACACACTCTATACAACCATACCTGCCACTGCTGCTGCTTCTGCCCGCCCAGACCCAACCAAACGTTAGCCCCCCCCTCTCCATGCAGCTGGTCACAAACATGTTGGCGAAAGCACGCCCATACAACACACTCTATACAACCATACCTGCCACTGCTGCTGCTTCTGCCCGCCCAGACCAGACGCTAGCCCCGCCCTCTCCATGCATATAGTCACAAACATGTCCGGATGTGCTTCCGCTCGATAGAAGCACACTGCCTTGTGCCAGTGCACCTCTGCTAACGCTGCCAGGCGCTTCTGCTGCTGCTGCCAATCCGCCACACCCCCTGCTGCTGATCCTCCTGCAGCAGCAGCAGCAGCAGCACGAAGGGCACAATCCCTGTGGTAACCAGCAAGATGGAAGTGAGCAAAGGCAGCTTCTTGCTGTCTGCTCGTCCCTAGAGACTCATACAGAATCAGAGCCTTACTCAAGGCATCCTTCGCCGAAACATACCCTCGCACCTCCCACTCCCACTCATTCCCCTCCCCTGCCCCCCCTCCGCTTTCCTCCCTCACCCCATCCCCATCCCCTCTCTCATTCTCCACCCTCCCTCCACCGAACCAACTGGAACTATCCGCATTCTCTTTCCTGTTCCCAGCAGGGACCATTGGGAGGCCCAGGCGTTCCGCAGCGGCCATAAGCATGCCGACTCTTAGGTAAGTGTGGGCGAATTGCAGGTTCACCTCGCTCCACACCACCCCATATGCCCGTGCTGCTGCTGACTCACTCTCAACCCCCACGCCACCCTTACCTCGTCCTCCTCCTACTCCTACTCCCCCTGATCCTCCTGCTCCTCCCGCTACGTCCGTACTCCCATCAGCAGCACCATCGGCCTTACTTTCCCCCACACTCCTCATCAGCTCCCTGCGAGCATCCCCATACCACCCCAACGCCCGCATATACCGCTGCCTCGCTCTCTCAAACTTGCCCGAGAACCCAGCACCAGCACCAGTACCAGCACCAGCACCAGTACCAGCACCAGCACCAGCACCAGCGGAACCACTTTCACCGCCGTTAACATTCGTTGCGGCATCCCCAGCACCAAAAGCAACAGGCGCCCCAGCAGCAGGAGCAGCAGCAGCAGCAGAAGAAGCAGCATTACTAAAGCCCACGCCAGAAGCACCTGCTTGCTCAGAGAGCATGAGAAGAGGAGCAGCAATCACCTCAGCATCTGCCCGTTCCCCATGGCCTAGATTGCAGAGCACAAGAGCAGCATTGGGAGCATCTCCCGCTTCCCAGAATGCCTCTGCTGCCGCCACCAGCGCTGCCCGTGCTGCTGCTATGGTGGCGTGTGGGGGTGTGGGAGGTGGAGGAGGAGATGAGGTAGAGGAAGAGGAGGAAGAGGAGGAGGGAGAGGAGGAGGAAGGGGAGTTGAGAAGCCACCGGCCGCGCTCGTTGCAGGCCCATCCGCGTTTCCTCATAACCACCTGCTTGCTTGTCGCGTCGTGATTGGCCGAGAACGCAGCCGCTGCCCGGGAGTAAAACTCGGCTGCTGATTGGTAGTTGGCGTTCGGGTCGAGCACGAACGGTCGGCCAAAACAACGACTCTTCCAGCTGGTTGCAGAGCAGGCGGCTTGGGGAAGGGCTGATGGTGCTGCTGATGCTGATTCACCGTTGTCTCGTCGTGCTCGTTCATTCAAGCAGCTACAACCACCCCTCCCACACACGCTACAAACAGCATGTGCTACAGCTGCTACTGCTTCTGCTGCCCCTGCTGCTGCCCTTGCTGCCTCCCCAGCCGCGACCCTTTCGCCTGTTGCCCCGTGACCACTGCCCTCCCTCTGCCTCCTTTTCTTCCTCACCCGTCTCACCTCCCTTGCCACCTCCTCTTCTATCCTCAGCTCTGCACTCCCAGATGCCTCTCCCTCTGCAGCCACTGCTGCAGCCCGCACAGCCACACTGCCTTCTTCCCTTCTCCCCTCGCCCAACCTCGCACCACCAACCCTTGCCCCTTGCTTTGGGTCACCGAGTCTCGCCTCTTGCTTCGAATCACCGAGCCTTGCTGCTTGCTCAGGCTCCGACCCTGTTCCGACCCTAGTCTCTAGGTCCACATACAAATCTCCTACCAGTTCCCACAGCTCACCCCAAAAGCTCCTTCCACTCACACGCCTGCACAACCACATGCTACCCTCCCACCCTGCAGATACTCCCCCTCCCGCCAACATCCCTGCTGCTGCTGCTGCTGCTGCTGCTGCTCCTCTGCTCACTCCCACCCCCACCCCTTTTGGCCTTACAGATTCAGAAACACGGCTCTGCCTCTCATTCTTGCGTGCTGACTGGCTGGGCTTTGAAGAGTCCTTCGTTTTAGCCCCACCGAGAGATTGTGTGACTTTAAGCGGTGTGACTGTACGTGACGCAGTGTAAACACGAAGCACAGGGGCGTCAGACGTGGAGCAGCCAGAATCGGACAGCCTCAGCCTGTCTTCCACCCTCATCTCCCTTACGGGCTGACTCGCTACATGTAAAGCATTTCCTCCTTCCGCCCCTCCTTCGCCCTTCTTCTGCTTCCTATCTTTCCCTTTCGCTTTCTTCCTCCCACCTCTCGCCCCCCTAACCTCTTGCACCCCCCTCTCCGCTCTCTCCCCTTCCTGCTCGCCACCAGTCTTCATTCCATTCCCCTCACCTCCAACCCCCCATCCCTCCAATCCCCGAAACCTACCCTCCTCCTCTTCATCCCGCCTCCCATCCTCTCCCTCTCCTCCCACTCCTCCCTCTCCCCCCTCCTCCCCTTCCCCTTCCAAGCCTAGATCCTCCAAGTCCCACGGCCAACCCCCCACAACCACACACGCCAGCTCAGCAGCTCTTAAAGCCCGCCCCACGTGCCCATCCCCCTTATAAGCTTCTGCTAGGCCCAGATATGCCTCTCCTAGAAGCGCTATCAGCTTGCAGATACGCCGATCGGTAACCGCAGTGGTACGGCTGGTAACCGCACTGCTAGTGGTAACCGCATCACCACTGGTTAGGCCTCCAGCAGCAGCAGAACCAGCAGAGGCAGCAGAGGCAGCGCCAACACTGCTGCAGGTGCTACCTAGGGAGCAAAAAGAATGTGCGTCGTCATCCCCCTCCCTCCCTTCCTCCTCCCCCCACTCCTGCCCTCTCTCCCCCATTACCCCCACCTCCTCCTCCACCTTCCCCCTCTGCTGCCCTCCCCTTCCCTTCACCCCCTTCCGCCCCTTCCCCCTGCTCCTCCTCCTCTCCTCCTCAACCACTCCAAACGCCCTCCCATCCCCGTAAACCGCACCAGACCCTTGGGAAAGGCAGCAGGATTCCCCACAGAGACACATACCGGAAGCAGAGTAGTTTCTGAGGCTGTGGAGGAGGGATAGAGGGGGGTTCATTAAGCTCTCCTGGGTGTGAGTCAGCAGGTGCCGCTGCCACCTCAGCGCGCCGATCGCTTGCGTGGCATGCCAGACGGATGCCAGACGGACTGCCACTGCGCTCTCTGCATCGTCGACAGCAGGGGGAGGGGAACGGGATGGCAGCGGCGGTTGTGATTTTGGTGCTGCTTCTTCTGCACCTGCTGTTTCTTCTGCCCCTGCAGCTGCTTCTGCTCCTGCCGCTTTTGCCTCTGCTGCTGCTTCTGCCCCTATTCCTGTGTGCGCTACGGCACTCTCCGCGTCTCCCACTGTAGTGCGCGGAGGGGGCAAAATTGCGGATATTGGTGAAGCTGCAGTTGCTGTGGCTTCTGGTTCTGCTGCTGCTGCTGCTTCTTGTTCTGCTTTAGCTGCTGCTCCTGGCTCAGTCGCTGCCACAACCTTTGATTCCTGTGCTACCGATTCATTTGCTGCAGTTGCACCCGATTCCTGTGCTACTGCTGCCCCTGATTCCTTTTCTACAGTTGCACCTGATTCCTGTGCTACAGCTGCCCCTGTTTCCTTTTCTACAGTGGCACCCAGTTTCTGTGCTACAGCTGCCCCTAACCCATGCGCTGCTTGCGAGCTGATCGTGAGCTGCTGGCTCGTTGGAAAAACGGGAATCACAGCCAGCTGCTGATTGGCTTGGGGAATTACAGCCAGCTGCTGATTGGCTTGGGGAATTACAGCCAGCTGCTGATTGGCTTCGGAAATCACAGCCAAGGGTTGGTCAGCTCTTGGAATGACAGCTAAGTGTGCGTTGTTTGTGGGGACGATGGCCAAACGTTGAGAGCCCACAGCTGCAGGAGCAGCTGCAGCATCAGCACTAGCAGGATCAGCAGCAGCAGGAGTAGCAGGATCAGCAGCAGCAGCAGGAGTAGCAGGATCAGCAGCAGCAGCAGGAGTAGCAGGATCAGCAGCAGCAGCATCTTTGGGATAAGTGATAGCGAGGCAAGAGGATGGGGTGAGAGCAGAAGGAGATACGGAGGAAGGGGTGGAGAAGGGTAAAAGATTGGACGGTGGCAGATGGGAGGGTAAGAACGTGACTGGTTGGAGAAAGGGGAGGTGGAGTGAGGAGGGATGGGGGAGTGACGGTTGGAGAGAGGGATGGAGGAGGGAGGAAGGGGGGATGGGAGGGTGTGGGGGGGCGGTATGGGGAGTTGATGAGAGGAGGAAGGGAGGGTGGGGAAGCCGTGGTTGTGGCAGGAGGGGGGAGTGGAGGTGCGAGGGTTGGAGGAGAGATGGAAGCTCTTTCTGAGGGATTTGCAGGAAGAAGAGCGCCATGTACTCGTGGGCTGTTGCTCGAAGGCCCTGGAGGGGAAACGGAGATTAGAAGAGGAATGGAGGGAGGTAGAGAAACAATGATACGCTGCACCGCCCGCTCATACGCTGCACCGCCCGCTCATACGCTGCACCGCCCGCTCATACGCTGCACCGCCCGCTCATACGCTGCACCGCCCGCTCATACGCTGCACCGCCCGCTCATACGCTGCACCGCCCTCTCATACGCTGCACCGCACGCTCGTACGCTGCACCTCCCGCTCGTACGCTGCACCGCCCGCTCATACGCTGCACCGCCCGCTCATACGCTGCACCACCCGCTCATACGCTGCACCGCCCGCTCATACGCTGCACCGCCCGATCATACGCTGCAGCGCCCGCTCATACGCTGCACCGCCCGCTCATACGCTGCAGCGCCCGCTCATACGCTGCAGCGCCCGCTCATACGCTGCAGCGCCCGCTCATACGCTGCACCGCCCGCTCATACGCTGCACCGCCCGCTCATACGCTGCACCGCCCTCTCATACGCTGCACCGCACGCTCGTACGCTGCACCTCCCGCTCGTACGCTGCACCGCCCGCTCATACGCTGCACCGCCCGCTCATACGCTGCACCACCCGCTCATACGCTGCACCGCCCGCTCATACGCTGCACCGCCCGCTCATACGCTGCACCGCCCGCTCATACGCTGCACCGCCCGCTCATACGCTGCAGCGCCCGCTCATACGCTGCAGCGCCCGCTCATACGCTGCAGCGCCCGCTCATACGCTGCACCGCCCGCTCATACGCTGCACCGCCCTCTCATACGCTGCACCGCACGCTCGTACACTGCACCTCCCGCTCGTACGCTGCACCGCCCGCTCATACGCTGCACCGCCCGCTCATACGCTGCACCACCCGCTCATACGCTGCACCGCCCGCTCATACGCTGCACCGCCCGCTCATACGCTGCAGCGCCCGCTCATACGCTGCACCGCCCGCTCATACGCTGCACCGCCCGCTCATACGCTGCACCGCCCGCTCATACGCTGCACCGCCCTCTCATACGCTGCACCGCACGCTCGTACGCTGCACCTCCCGCTCGTACGCTGCACCGCCCGCTCATACGCTGCACCGCCCGCTCATACGCTGCACCGCCCGCTCATACGCTGCACCGCCCGCTCATACGCTGCACCGCCCGCTCATACGCTGCACCGCCCGCTCATACGCTGCACCGCCCGCTCATACGCTGCACCGCCCGCTCATACGCTGCACCGCCCGCTCATACGCTGCACCGCCCGCTCATACGCTGCACCGCCCGCTCGTACGCTGCACCGCCCGCTCATACGCTGCACCGCCCGCTCATACGCTGCACCGCCCGCTCATACGCTGCACCGCCCGCTCATACGCTGCACCGCCCGCTCATACGCTGCACCGCCCGCTCATACGCTGCAACGCCCGCTCATACGCTGCACCGCCCGCTCATACGCTGCACCGCCCGCTCATACGCGGCACCGCCCGCTCATACGCTGCACCGCCCGCTCATACGCTGCACCGCCCGCTCGTACGCTGCACCGCCCGCTCGTACGCTGCACCGCCCGCTCGTACGCTGCATCGCCCGCTCGTACGCTGCACCGCCCGCTCGTACGCTGCACCGCCCGCTCGTACGCTGCACCGCCCGCTCGTACGCTGCACCGCCCGCTCGTACGCTGCACCGCCCGCTCGTACGCTGCACCGCCCGCTCGTACGCTGCACCGCCCGCTCATACGCTGCACCGCCCGCTCATACGCTGCACCGCCCGCTCATACGCTGCACCGCCCGCTCATACGCTGCACCGCCCGCTCATACGCTGCACCGCCCGCTCATACGCTGCACCGCCCGCTCATACGCTGCACCGCCCGCTCATACGCTGCACTGCCCGCTCGTACGCTGCACCGCCCGCTCATACGCTGCACCGCCCGCTCATACGCTGCACCGCCCGCTCATACGCTGCACCGCCCGCTCATACGCTGCAACGCCCGCTCATACGCCGCACCGCCCGCTCATACGCTGCACCGCCCGCTCGTACGCTGCACCGCCCGCTTGTACGCTGCACCGCCCGCTCATACGCTGCACCGCCCGCTCGTACGCTGCACTGCCCGCTCATACGCTGCACCGCCCGCTCATACGCTGCACCGCCCGCTCATATGCTGCACCGCCCGGTCATACGCTGCACCGCCCGCTCATACGCTGCACTGCCCGCTGATACGCTGCCCGCCCGCTCGTACGTTGCACTGCACGGCATATAGGCATGTACACTGGTGGTGCTCACGGGCTGGTGCTCATGAGCTCATGCTCACGGGCTACTCCTCTTGTTCTTACCAGGTTTTCTTTCTGGTGCAGCAGCTGCAGGCAGTAACCAAACAGCTATGCAGACCTGTGGCGATCCCAGGCACTCGTAATATGGGTTACTAGGAGATGGCAGATGAGTGCTCACCTACTGGTTGGGGCTGCACTTGCTGCTCGGGGGGATGGTAGAATGCAGGGGCTTACCGGGTGGTCTTTCTGGTGCAGCAGTTGCAAGCAGTACCCAAACAGCTGGGCTGTCCTGTGCCGATCCCGAGGCACATGGGAGTCTGAGAGATGAAGGGCTAGGCGGTAGAGCAGCATAGCGAGGGGCAGGGAGAGGTGCGCTGCTACAGCCGGATCGAGAGAAGATAACGGGGAGTTCCCTCCTGCTCGCCCCGCTAGCCCCCCTGCTGCCTCCCCTGCTGTCCCCACTGCTGCCCCCCTTGCTCGTCCCGCTCTTGCCCCTGCTGCCTCTCCTGATGGTTCTCCCAGGGGTGAAGGATGGGTAGCGAGGGATGGGGCGAGGCGGAGCGGTGCAGATGGGTTCTGGAGCGGTGGAGTGAGGTCGAATAGCTGCAGCACGTCAGTGCCTGCATCCTTGCGAAGCTGCACAGAGAGGGAGGAGGGGAGAAAGAAGGAAGGGAGGAGAGGAAGAGGAGAGGAGGGGAGGGGAGGGGAATGGGGAAGGGAGGGTAGTGGGAGGGGGGAGGGGAGGGGGGAGAGTGAGAGGGGAGAGAGGTACAGAGGGGTGGAGTAAGTTAAATAGCAGCAGCACGTCCGCGCCTGTGTCACACTGATAGAGCAGCAGCAGGAATCGGAATTCAGACTCACCCAGTAGGTGCCGGGGCTGCGCACGCACTTGTCCTGCAGGAACCCCAGGATGGCGAGCGCGCTGTCCCTCACAGCGTGGGGGTAGAACGACGCCGACCCGTCTCTCGCGAGGCACTTGAGCAGAAACACGTCGTCACAGTGCAGCAGCTCGTAGCCCTGCACGACGCCCTTGTGATGGTAGCAGATGGCTAATTCCGGCACCCCCGCCATCAGGTTATCGAGCCATATATCGAGCCACACCAAAGGGGAGCTCTGCAAGTGTGTGCAGGAAGAGAAGGAAGAAAGTTAAGATGAAGGCTGACTGCCGCATGCTCCTCATTGCTGAACAGAATCAGATCGCTTCCCAGGAACACGAACACCACAGCGGCAGAACAGGCACGAGTCGCCCACCCACAGAGGGGCGGGGTGGGTGGGGGGTAGCATACCTCATGCTCCACATCAACTAGGTGAACACTGACTGCCGCATGCTTCTCATTTCTGAACAAAATCAGGTCGCTGTTTTCAGGCACTAGAAGAATCGTCACCTTGAATCAGCAAGAGCATGCCTCATGCTCCACGTCAACGAGGTGAAGGCTCACTGCCGCATGGTTCTGATTTCTGAACAGAATCAAGTCGCTGTTTTGAGGCACTAGAAGAATCGTCACCTTGAATCAGCAAGAACATGCCTCATGCTCCACATCAACTAGGTGAAGGCTCACTGCCGCATGCTTCTCATTTCTGAACAGAATCAAGTCGCTGTTTTGAGGCACTAGAAGAATCGTCACCTTGAATCAGCAAGAACATGCCTCATGCTCCACGTCAACGAGGTGAAGGCTCACTGCCGCATGGTTCTCATTTCTGAACAGAATCAAGTCGCTGTTTTGAGGCACTAGAAGAATCGTCACCTTGAATCAGCAAGAACATGCCTCATGCTCCACGTCAACGAGGTGAAGGCTCACTGCCGCATGCTTCTCATTTCTGAACAGAATCAGGTCGCTTCCCAGCAACACGAACACCACAAGAGCATATAAGACACAACATACCCTGAATCAAAAGGGCGTAAAAACAAAACTTCCTACCTCATGCTCCACGTCGACCAGGTGAAGGCTGACTGCCGCATGCTTCTCATTACTAAACAGAATCAGGTTGCTGGTCGAGGCACTAGCTAGATTGTCACCTAACGGCAAGAGCATACCTCATGCTCCACGTCAACGAGGTGAAGGCTGACAGCAGCATGCTTCTCATTGCTGAACAGAATCAGGTCGCTGCCAAGAAACAGCCTCAGGTGCTCCAACTGCCAGAACACCACCCGGGCAAACCTGTCCGCCCCTCTCTCTGCCTCCACTCCTCCTCCTCCCCCTCCTCCTGTCTCCATTCGCTTCCCCGCACCTCCTCCTCCTCCTACCCCTGTTTCAATTCGCCTCCCCGCTCCTCCGTTGCTGCCATTATCCAGCCTTCTCTCCCGCTTGCTGCATGGCTTGCCCTTCCCAGCGCCCTCCCAACGCGCATACCCCTCCTCTTGCTCCTGCTCCTCCTCCTCTTCCACTTCCACTTTCACTTCCCCTTGAACGCCTTCAATCTGATTCTTCAAACTACCAGCGCAAGCTGCATCAGTGACAACAGCCTTCTGCAACCCAAACTGCTGCTGCTGCTGCTGCTGCCGGCGCTGTTGCTGTTGCTGCTGACTGCTGTGGTCGCACACTCGCACCACGCCCTCTGCATCCCCGACAAAATCCGTGGTAGTTTTTGGAGGCGCCCCAGAAGTCTGCTGCTGCTGCTGCTGCTGTGGCTGCTGCTGCCGATCCATCTGCTGCTCCTCCTGCTGCTGACTGCTGCGGCCGCACACTCGAACCACGCCTTCCGCGTCCCCGACGAAATCCGCGAACGCTTTTGGCAGAGCAGCAGCGTTAGGCAGACCTTTTCTTGAAACATTGCTGCTGCTGCTACCCCTGCTGGTGCTGTTTTGGTTGCCGCTATTGCGACCACTGCTGCTACTGCTATCAGTACCACCAGAAACTGCAGACGAGCTGATGGCACTGGTGCTGCTGCTCCTGATGCCTCTGCTGGTAGGTCTGCTGCTGGAAGACGCGCCCTGTTGACCGTGTAACTCCGGGGTTACCAGCTTGGAGAGCAGAATCGCCTCGCGTTGCCCTCTGGAGGTCCGTGCGACCTTGTGGGAGTCCACACACCCAGGCTCGGAGCTGAGAGGAGCATGGGGGAGGGTATGAGGGGAAGAAGGAGAGTGAAAGTCTGAGTTACAAGCTTAGAGAGTAGAATCGCCTCCCTTTGCAATCTAGAGGTCCATACCACGTTGTGGGAGTCCACACAGCAAGGCTCGGAGCTGAGAGGAGTATGGGGGAGGGGGGAGGTGGGGATGAGTGGAAGAAGGAAAGAGTACAACTCTGGGCTACCAGCTTGGAGAGAGAGAAGCACTGCCACTTTTGCTGCCCTGGCCTCCGGAGGCTCATGGTACATTGTGCGAATCCATGAAGCACCCCTCACTCACCCGGGGTTGAGCACGAGCGTGCGGCCGACGCGGTGCACGCTGGCAAAGAGGCTGGCCTTGGAAAACGGCAGCTTGAACAGCTGCTTGAGCACGTCCGCGGGCGCTATCACGTCTACTGCGTCCTCCCCAAACTCCGCCAGCCCCCTCACCGCCAGGGCCCCATCTCAGCAGGCGCACTCACATTCCCTGACCCTTGAGTCGCCTCAAAGGCAGCACGCACTCACCCTGGGTGGATTGAGGTTCCTCAGAAGCAAGAAGCATCCACTCACCCGGGGTTGAGCACGAGCGTGCGGCCAACGCGGTGCACGCTGACAAAGAGGCTCGCCTTGGAAAAGGGCAGTTTGAACAGCTGCTTCAGCACGTCCGCGGGCGCTATCACGTCCACCGCGTCCTCCCCAAACTCCGCCAGACCCCTCACCGCCAGCGCCTCGCACTTGCGCGCGCCGCTGTGGTGCAGATACGACCCCCCCCAGGTGGAACCTGGAGGGTCCGAGGGACGGTCGACTGGCAGGAGGATGTTGTCTCGGTGCAGCCATGCGGGGGGATGCGTGTCCAGGGACGGTCGGGCTGGGGGAGGGATCACCTTGGGAATGCCGGGAGTCCTGGGGGAGAGGGAAGGGACGAGGGATTGGCTAGGTTAGAAGTGAAAAAACGAGGAGAGACATGGTTAACGGCAGATTTGGACAGAAATCTGGGTAGGAATGAAACGGTGTCACCAGTCGCTAATGAAGGCTTTTAGAGAATCCTGGAGCGAACTTCGGAATACCGATACGTAGGAAAAGATTATGTTCAGAGAAATTTATCTTGTGTCGCATAGCTATTCACCTATCGTGGAAGAAAGATCTCGATATCCCCGGAGAGAACTCGAGCGTGGTGAACTCGCGATCGAGCCAGACCGGCAGCGAGCCGCAGAGGAACATGCTGCGAGGCTTCGCCAGCTGCAGACTCGCCACAGGCGGTCCGGTCGAATCCGCCATGACGATTCTTCGTGGCACTTCCTATTTATGCTGGCACTTGACTTTCCCGATGCTCGCTGGAGTTGCAACCATAAGTCAGGAAGGTAATCATGAAGCTGGAACCAGCAACTATCCATGCAATCAACTCTCACAACACGAGCTCATACGCCATAGATTCAATCTGCGCCTTCTCCCGTCTGAAAGAACAAACGTCACCCTCACGGAAATCAGAAACTGGAAACTGAAAGCAACGCGTGCTGCAGTCTGCTCTTGATCCGAAAATGGTTTGCCCCGTTTTGGTTCTTGTGTGGTATTAGTAGCTTGATCCAGAATGGTTTGCTGCATTTTGTTCAATAGAACCAGCAGATTCGGACTTCAGGATAGGTTCGGCACGGTTGGCTATGTTTCTGTGAGCTACAGTATGGTGGGGATTCTGGACGTCACCTAGATTCTGGAAGCATTTTGCCCAACAGCAACCATTTTCAGTGTCCAGGGTCGCACAAGCGAAAATTCCAGAAGCGAACATTGTGCGGATCACATCCTAGAGATTGTCGAGACGAAAGGGTTAGCGAGTAGACTTCGCGAACTTCTCTGATTCACGGAATTTTGTGCCTCTTCGTTCTGGACAGCCTCGATACTATGGTTCACAATGCTGCATTTGCCCCATCCAGCTACACCACACAGTATTACTGTCAGAAAGAGAATATTCCCCAAACCACAACCATGCTCGCCACGCAACCTTATCCACCAGGCACATGCCTCGGCCACCACTTTTGAGCAACTTAGGGTTCCAGATTACGCTTTAATCAGCCGCGTTTAGCAGGTCCGCCAGGACACTCTGCCTCTGGACGAGGCAGGGACCTCGTACCCATTGCCGGATTCTTATTCGTCACTCCGGATCCTTCCGTGTTCTCGCGTCGATCCTGATCCGTGTCGCAACACGTCCCATTTTCCTCGTCAGACGAATTATCGCCCGGCATGGTTGTTCTAGTCGCCGCGCGAGCCACCCAGCAGGGCCTCTTCCAGGCGATCAGCTTCACTTCGTTTCTATCACATTCGTTCCTAAAACGAGGGCGACCATGCGCGCTTCTCTCCCGCCTCCATTCCGCCTCCCCAGCGCTCCCCTCCCCGTCGATCCTCCGCGTATCCCCTCTCACGCTCCCCGCCAGCGGACTCCGCTCCCCCTTAAATCCCGCGCCATCGCCGCAATTCGCGGATGCCGATTCGAAGAACCACCGCGGAGCCGCGTCCAAATCCACTCCGCTTACCTCCGCGCCGCTCTTTCTCCTCCCGAGCCAGCAGAAGGGGGTGCCTCGTGGGGTCGCGGCTCGAGCAGCCTCTAAAGCCTCTCGAATCGTCAAGGATGCGTCTAAGAAAAAAGGCGGGAAAATTGGTCCAGGGGGATCGAACCAGGAAGCGAAGCAGCAGCGAAGGGGGGGTAGCGGGCACGGGGCTTTCGGGGCTAACGAGTTTACCGGAAACGGGGGTCTGCTTGAATCTGAGCCGTCCGATTTGGGCGATCTGGGTTTATCGAAGGATGTGGACGCGGCGTGGCTTATTAGCGGGTCGCGAGACAATATCGAGGATGACGTGCCGGATTCCCCGTTTCTAGACGCAGTCGTTAAGGTGTATTGTACGCACACGCAGCCGAATTTCTCGTTGCCCTGGCAGAAGCGGCGGCAGTTTTCGTCGACGGGCAGCGGGTTTATGATTCCGGGCAGGCGAATTTTGACGAACGCGCATTGCGTGGAACACCACACGCAGGTGAAGCTTTGAGACGCCTCTGTTTTTTTCTTTTTTCTCTCTCTCTTGTTCTTTTTTTGTGTGGGATGTCTCGAATTCTGACGAACGCGCATTGTATCGCGTGCGCCACCACTCGCAGGTGAAGCTGAAGCGACGCGGCGACGACACCAAGTTTGTCGCACGCGTGCTGGCGATCGGCGTGGAGTGCGACATCGCGCTACTCGCTGTGGACGACGAGTCGTTCTGGCAGGGCCGCCAACCGCTCAGGTGAGGTGCTGTGGGGTGCTGTGGGGTGCCGACAGTTGCCCAGGTGGTTCCGCACAGGTACTGCGTGCTCTGGTGAGGTACTGAGAGGTGCAGTGAGGGGCTGATGGCAATCGGCGTGGAGTGCGACATCATGCTCCTTGCTGTGGACGACGACCGCCAACCCCTCAGGTACTTCCGCAGAGGTGGGGTGCTGTGAGGTGGTGCGAGGTGGTGCGAGGTGGTGCGAGGTGGTGCGAGGTGGTGCGAGGTGGTGCGAGGTTAAAGGCAGACAGTCACTCAGGCACTTGAGGTGCATAAGGTGTGTGTTGGGTTGGGTTCAAGCGTGCTGGCGATCAGCATGGGGTGCGGCATCACGCTCCTCTGGTGAGGTGCTGTGAGGTGAAAAGCCCCCATCTGGAGTTCCCAGTGACAGTGGTGGTGTACCCCTCTCCACTCTCCCACTCTCCCACTCTCCCAGTTTCCACCTTCTGCCCCTCTTCCTAATCTCACCTCACACACAGGTTCGGTGGTCTCGCTCACTTAGAGGACGCGGTGACAGTGGTGGGGCAGTGGGGTGCACAATCGGAGGCGACAGCATCTCAGTCACCTCTTCTTCCTCCTACCACATACCGCCTTTGTGTGTGTGCTCCCTCCCCCCTCCTCCTCCCTCACAGGTTCGGCGGTCTCCCTCACTTGGAGGATGCGGTGACAGTGGTGGGGTGCCCAGTGGGGGGAGGCAGCATCTCAGTCACATCTGGCTTCGTCTCTCGCATTGAAGTCACCGCATACGCTCATGGCGCTTGTTGTGTGTGTGCCCTTCCCCTCTCTTACCTCCGTCCACAGGTTCGGCGGTCTCCCTCATTTGGAGGACGCGGTGACAGTGGTGGGGTACCCAGTGGGGGGCGACAGCATCTCAGTCACCTCTGGAGTCGTCTCTCGCATTGAAGTAACCGCATACGCTCACGGCGCCTCCGAGCTACTAGGCGTGCAAATTGATGCCGCAATCAACCCGGGGAACAGCGGTGGCCCGGCTTTTAACGACCGCGGGGAGTGTGTGGGGATAGCGTTTCAGTCACTAAAGGATAGTGACACGGAGAATATCGGGTATATTATCCCGACGCCGGTCATCTCGCATTTCCTCGGCGATTACCGAAGAAACGGGCAGTACACGGGTTTCCCCGCGATCGGAATCCTCTGGCAGAGGCTGGAGAATCCTGCGCTTCGGGCAGCTCTGAAAATGTCGCCCGGGCAGAAGGGTGTTCTCGTGCGGAAAGTCGACCCGACGTCTCGAGCCCATGGGGTGCTACAGCAAGGGGATGTGATTATGTCATTTGATAATGTACCCATCGCCAGCGACGGCACTGTGCCTTTCCGAACCGGCGAGCGCATCTCCTACGGGTTTCTGGTCAGCCAAAAGTTTTCCGGCGAGGTTGCCCGGCTGGAAATTCTCCGCGACGGGCAGCTGATGAAGGTTCAGGTGCAGCTGAAGCCGCCGAAACGACTCATTCCGGTGCACACGGGGGGCAAATTGCCAACGTTTCTGATCGTGGCAGGGCTGGTTTTTACGCCTGCTGTGCAGCCGTTTTTGCAGTCAGAGTATGGGAGCGAGTTTGAGTTTGAGTCGCCGGTTTCGCTGCTTCAGAAGCTGCTGCATGGGCATGCGGAGCATGAGGACGAAGAGGTGGTGGTGTTGAGTCAGGTGAGAAGCGGTTTAGGCAGGTGAGAGGAGAGCAGGGAAGGTACAGAACGGTTGAGGCAGGTTGAATGTGGTAAGTGGCTCCAATTGATTTGCTGGTTTCGCTGTTGCAGAAGCTGCTGCATGGGCATGCGGAGCACATGTGTCCCCTGCCTTCTCCCCACTCCCTCACCCCCTCCAGGTGCTAGCCCATGAAGCCAACATAGGGTATGAGGATATCACCAACACGTGCCTCGTGTCTCTCAACGGCACGCGGGTGCGCAACGTGCGACAGCTGGCAGCGCTGGTGGACGCGTGCACATCAGACTGGGAGAGCCAGCCGTTCATGCAGTTTGAGTTGGAGCACCGGCAGCTGGTGGTGCTGGAAACGAAGAGCGTGCGGGCTGCCACGGCTGATGCCATGGCGGATCACAGCATTCCCTCGGACCGATCGGAGGATCTACGGTCCGCGATGCCGGTTGCGGCTGCGGCTGCAGCAGCAGCAGAAACGCCAGGAGCAGCAGCAGGGACGGCAGTAGAAACAGCAGCAGCAGCAGCAGAAACATTAGCAGCAGCAGCATTGGTGGTGGAAGTTGGCGGTGAATCTGGATCGTCGTCAAGTGGGGAGGACGAGAGTTCAGGGAAAGCCATTCGCATGAGGAGTGATGCTGATGTGAGGGTTGCTGCGGCAGTGCAGGTTGCAGCGAAGGGCAAAAAGCAGAAGCAGAGGAAGGGCAGAAAGTGAAAAGGCAGGAACAGATGACAAGGAAGGAGTTGAGAAAGGGCAGTGAAGGGCGGTTAAAGGCTGGAAGTAAAAGGGTAAGTGGGGAGCAAGTCTGGCTGGTGCTATGATTAGATGGGGAAATAAGCGGAGCAGTAGGTTACCAGTGTAGTACCTGTTGGCAGGTTTTTAGCCTTGGGTAGTGTTACACATGGATCGAGGCACTTGCATGGCAATGCTGTTGCTTCCAGTTTTGTTTATCCCACTGATGGCTCCACCAAGATGCATTTCGTGTCAATAAGACAGCTAGGATGATGTGCGCTAGCCACGCGTAGCACTGGCCGTGAGCGCCTGCGACTCAGTGATATGAATACGTATGCTGAAATATAGCTGGATACAATAACGATTGCCGATTTCGTAACACGCCTCGCAGCCACATTCCCTGGTAAGGGCCATGTTGCCACAAATTACTGATCTATCGACTGTGCGATTGACTCGCAGGACCTTGACGACGTAGGATGCGAAGCTACGTGTAGTTACCCTGCTGACGTGGGAGCTGGCATCCACACAGGCCCACGGGGAGCCATCATTCGTGACAAAGATTCTCATTCAAGATATGGTCGCCAGCGACAGCAA